GTGTGAGAGACAGGGACAGTGTGAGAGACAGGGACAGTGTGAGAGACAGGGACAGTGTGAGAGACAGGGACAGTGTGAGAGACAGGGACAGTGTGAGAGACAGGGACAGTGTGAGAGACAGGGCTCTTGACAAAGAGAGAGACGTAGACAAAGACAAAGACAGGGAGAGGGACAAAGACAAAGACAGGGAGAGGGACAAAGACAAAGACAGGGAGAGAGACAAAGACAGAGACAGGGAGAGGCGTCGTCGGGTGAAGGAGCGTGAGGCCGTGAGGACCGATGGGGGGGGAGCAGGGGGAGGGGCGCCCCCCCCCCACCGTGGAGCCAAGGACGAGCGCAAGTCCTCCTCCTCCTCCAAGGAGAACAACAACAACGCCGGCACCGCCACCGCCGGCTCCTCCGGCAGCCGCAAGTCACCGGTGCCAGGCGGCGGCAAGGCCAGGGGGCGGCCGGGCGAGTCGGCGGCGGCGGCGGCGGCCGCGGGGCACGAGGCGGCGGCCGGGGGCGGCGCCGGGGGCCGTGGCGGAGCGGCGGCGGCGGCGACGCTCACCAGCTTCGAGCTGATGCTCAGCCAGAAGGACATGGAGATGGAGCGGAGGCACCGCCACCTCAAGGGGAAGGCTCGCGGCAAGGAGAGAGCGGCGCGCAGTGCAAAGGTGGGTGCCTCCTAGCGGCGCGCTACACGCACAGCAACAACAACAACAACAGCAGCAGCAGCAGCAGCAGCCGCCATTCGCCGCTTGAGTGGCGGTGACGTCGCCACGACGCCAGTGCCAGGCCTCGTGCACGTTGAGGCCACGTGAGGTGTCGAGCGCCCGGTTACACCCAGGACTGATGCTCTTTGGTTCTTTCCGCAAAGTCTCGCGCGTAGGCATGAAGCAGAAGAATTTGAATCACGGCGTTTCGGGAGCAGCGCAAGCACCCGTCGTCCGGTGGGAAAGCCACAGCAATAAACGAGTTGCTGCAGTGGGCAAAAGAGCTGCTTTGCGGCAAGAGGTTATGTAAGGTCAGAGGGGGGAGGAGCCAGGGAGGAGAGAGAGAGAGAGAGAGGGCGGGGGGTGTGTAGCGTGGGGGAGTGGCGATCTGCCTATTGTGACGCACAACCGCTACAGCTTTGCACCGCTAGTACGACACAATGCCGGCGCTGGGCAGTCAGCGGGTCTGGCGGGTGTCGGAGGCTGAAGAAACTGGAGATGCGGATATGAAGGCAAACTACGAAGCTGTTCGGGTTTTACCTGGTCAATAACACCCTTCCAACGATTGCTCAATTTGTATCCATCTTCTCGGTTGAAGTTATGTCTGTGTTTGTATATCTGGATGGCTTCGGTAGCAAACCTTTGATAGTAGCCCGACGGTTTGCAGAGCACCTTGGTCTCGGAAAAGACAATATCATGAGAGCCCACAGCGTTGTAGCAGTGATCAGCCACGGCGGAAGAGTTAGTTCTGCCGTGTTTCAGATCTGCCTTGTGCTCGCGAATACGGTCAGATACCTGCCGTTTCGTTTCCCCAATGTAACAATCACCACCGGAGCAACTTCGTTTGTAGACTCCAGGGTATTGCATGTCAGGAATGACATCCTTCACGGATGGGATTAGATCACAGATTTTGTGTACTGTACTGAATCGGACTTGGATCTTGTGTTTGTTTAAGATTTTGGAAGTCTTTTTGGTAACGCCTGCTGTGTATGGTAACGTGATAGCTTTGATCGGCGTTCCAGGGAGTTGTTTCTCCACGGTTGGAGAAACCGCTTTGCGGATAGTACGGTCCGAATATCCATTCATCTTAAGGGCCTGGTGCACGTGTTCCAGTTCACTGGCTAGGTGGTGTTGGTCAGAAATTCAGTGGGCCCTATGGTGTAGTGTTTTGATGAGGGAATTCTTCTGTGCCGGGTGGTGGTGGGAATCAGGTTTCAGATAGGAATCTGTGTGGGTGGTTTTCCTGTAGACAGAGTGTCCCAAAGAGCCATCGGGTTTCCTCTCAAACACAACATCCAGGAATGGTAGCTTACTATCCTTCTCCACTTCCATGGTGAATTTGATGGATGGGTGTATTGCCCTCGTCGGCCGAGAGGATGACTGCATCATCCCTCTTTTTCAAACTTGCGAGTTCAGAGCGCTCGTCTTTGCTGATGTTACTCATGGGTGTCTTAGCATTTCTAAGGATGGTGGCAATTTCAGCTCTAGCAACGTCTGTTGGGATGTGTCCCAAGCCTTTGAGGGCTACGTCGACCTGGGAGATTGATCGTAGGCAGGCTAGCCTAAATGTTTCTAACCGGCGGAGATGCTCCATTAGCGGGGTCCACGTTTCGCAAGCGTAGAGAAGGGAGGGAATGACCATGGCCGAGAAGACCTGAAGCTTAGTGCGGAGCGACAGACCAGGTAGCTTCCACACAGCGTTACGCAACCGATGAAAAGATATTGCCACTCGACCGATTCGGAGTGAGACCTCTGCTGTTAAACCGGAGTCGGTCATAAGCACACTGCCCAGGTATGGGAAACTCTCCACTCGCTCCACAACTGCTCCATCACCGATTAGGAGTTGTGGGGGTGGAGTGTCCGATGGTACAAAATACCCAGGCAGGTGCTTAGTTTTGGTGGGGCTGATGGTAAGGCCCCATCTCTTAGTAGCACGTTCCAGTCTCAACAGCAGCGTCTCCAACTCTTCCTCTGAATGAGCAGCTATTACCAGATTATCGGCATACATAACGTGGTTGATCCATAGGGAGCCATCCCTTGACCGCACCCGGGCATCGATCAGCCTCCCATTGTACCTGTACCAGCCACCACCGCTACACCAGGTTCTCATTTGAGGCCGAGTCGACCTAGTGGAGGCCCAGGACCTTTTCAGATAATCCTCACGGCTGGCGATTATCTGAAAAGGTTTTTGTGGCGTAGCGTAGCGCTAACCGCTACACTGCCGCTCCCCACTAGCAACACAAAGACAGAGATCCCCCTGTATAGCCTTGGACCCGGGTTCGATTCCCGCTCATAAATGTCACCAGTGGGGACATTCATCTGAACCGGTCCTGGGCCGTCGACAGAACGCGGCCAATTTGAGTAATGGGTTGCCATGTTCACGCGATGTAACACAACAACAACAACACCTCTGCTGCTGCTGCTGCTGCTGCTATTGATCGCTAAAGCCTCATTGCAACTGCTGCTCCTGCCGCGTGTTATTGTAGCGTCAGGGGGGCGACCAGACGCTGCTCTACCGCCTTGCGCCGGTCTCGCGGCGTTGACGCCCTCCCCCCACCCCCCCCCCCCCCCCCCCCCCCCCCCCCCCCCCCCCCCGATGTGTCCGGGCAGGCTGCCGGTGGCGCCAGCGGCGCCACCGGCAAGGAGCGGCGGCCTCCGCCGGCGAGCCCCGCGCAGCGCCCGCGGGTCGCCTGTGAGCAGCCGGTGCCGACGGGCAAAGCCGCGGAGGGCGGCGACGGCGCCCTCCCGGCCCCGCTTGCGCCGGGCGGGGAGGGCGCCAGGGTTGTGGCGTCACCGCGGCACCATCAGCAGCACCAGCAGCACAACCATCAGCATCAGCGCCCGATTCTTCTTCATCATCATCATCATCAGCAGCAGCAGCAGCTGCAGAAGCAGAATCAGCCGCTGCTGCTGCTGCAACGGCAGCAGAATCATCCGCAACAGCAGACTTGTCACCAGCAGCAGCAGCAGCAGCTTCAGCAGCAGCAACAGCAGACTTGTCACCAGCAGCAACAGCAGCTTCAGCAGCAGCTTCAGCAGCAGCAGCAGCAGCAGCAACCTTCCCAACAGCTTCACAACCACCACGACCGCCCCCAGCACCAGCCGCCGATCTGGCACCCGCAGGCGGAGCCGCCGGCGACGGGCGGCGCCTGCGGGGTGACCCCCCCGCGGCGCTGGCCGGCGCCCGGCGACCACGGCGGCGGCGAGGAGCCGGCGCCGCCCGCGGCGGCCGCCGCCCTGCCGACGCCGCCGCACCGCCGCCACCGGCGGCGGCACCGGCTGGGCGCGAGCGACGGGGAGGAGGGAGAGCCGGAAGTTCGGAGCGACGCCGCCAAGGACGAGCCGTCGCTCGCCGCCGACGCTTCTCCCGCGCCGGCGAGCGATGCCGGCGGCGGGGGGGGGGCGCCCTCGCCGCCGCCGCCGGCGCCGTCGCCGGCGGCTCCCCGGGCGGCTCCCCGGGCGGCTCCCCGGGCGGCTCCCCGGCACCGCGCCGAGCGGCCGGGGGGTGCCGCCGCCTCGGCGGCGGACGGCGACGCGCGGTCGGTGCTCGGGGTCGAGCCGGAACCGGCGCCGGCTCGCGATCCGGCCGCCGGCCCCGGTCGCGACGACGCCGCGGACGCCGGCGCCGTCGATTTGGTCGTCTCGGAGCAGATGCCGGAGGAGACGGCGGCGGCGGCGGCGCCGCAGCGGGAGGCGGAGCCGAGCCGAGCGGACGACGGCGCGGGGGAGGAGCCGCCGGCGCCGCCGCCGGAGGGCGGCCGCGGCGCCGCCCCTCCGGACGCCGCCGTGGCCGTCGCGGCGAGCGACGGCGATGAACTCGCGGCGGAACCGCCGGCGGAACTGCCGCCGGCGCCGGAGCCGCCGCCGCCGGCGATTCCGCCGCCGGACGAGGAGGAAGGGGAGGGGGGGGCGTCGCCCCCGTCGGCGTCGGACGCCGACGGGGGCGACGCCCGGCCCGGCCCACGTGCCGAGGACGGGCGGCCGGAGGGCGCCGGCAACGGCGGAGGAGGGGACTCGGGGCGACGCCCGGCGCCGGCGCCGGGCGGTTGCCGGCGCCCGGCCGGCGCCGGCGACCGGGCGCAGGCCCAGCGCGAGTGTGCCCAGCGTGAGTGTGCCCAGCGTGAGTGTGCTCAGCGTGAGTGTGCACAGCGTGAGTGTGCTCAGCGTGAGTGTGCTCAGCGTGAGTGTGCCCAGCGTGAGTGTGCCCAGCGTGAGTGTGCACAGCGTGAGTGTGCACAGCGTGAGTGTGCACAGCGTGAGTGTGCACAGCGTGAGTGTGCACAGCGTGAGTGTGCTCAGCGTGAGTGTGCTCAGCGTGAGTGTGCACAGCGTGAGTGTGCTCAGCGTGAGTGTGCTCAGCGTGAGTGTGCACAGCGTGAGTGTGCACAGCGTGAGTGTGCACAGCGTGAGTGTGCGCTGCGCGCCGTGTTCGCCCGGCAGCGCGGCAGTGCGGAGGAGCGGTGGGCGGCGCTGTGCGGGGTGGCCCCGGCGCCGCCGCCGCCGCACGGCTACCCCCGGTTCATGACGCACACCGGGGCCTACGTGCTGCACGGCAAACCCTACAGCCGCCTGCAGGTTCCCACGGTGAGCGCCGGCACCTGTACGTCGTGTGTACGCTGTGTGTGTGTGTACGGTGTGTGTGTACGCTGTGTGTGTGTGTGTACACGCTGTGTGTGTGTGTACGGTGTGTGTGTACGCTGTGTGTGTGTGTGTACACGCTGTGTGTGTGTGTGTGTACGGTGTGTGTGTACACGCTGTGTGTGTACGGTGTGTGTGTGTACACTGTGTGTGTGTATACGGTGTGTGTGTGTGTATACGCTGTGTGTGTACACGCTGTGTGTGTACACGCTGTGTGTGTACGGTGTGTGTGTGTACACTGTGTGTGTGTGTGTATACGGTGTGTGTGTGTGTACACTGTGTGTGTGTACACGCTGTGTGTGTGTACACTGTGTTTGAACACGGTGTGTGTGTACACCCTGTGTACAGTGAGGGAAAAAAGTATTTGATCCCCTGCTGATTTTGTACGTTTGCCCACTGACAAAGAAAGGATCAGTCTATAATTTTAATGGTAGGTTTATTTGAACAGTGAGAGACAGAATAACAACAAAAAAATCCAGAAAAACGCATGTCAAAAATGTTATGAATTGATTTGCATTTTAGTGAGGGAAATAAGTATTTCACCCCCTATCAATCCGGAAGATTTCTGGCTCCCAGGTGTCTTTTATAGAGGTAACGAGCTGAGATTAGGAGCACACTCTTAAAGGGAGTGCTCCTAATCTCAGCTTGTTACCTGTATAAAAGACAGCTGTCCACAGAAGCAATCAATCAGATTCCAAACTCTCCACCATGGCCAAGACCAAAGAGCTCTCCAAGGATGTCAGGGACAAGATTGTCGACCTACACAAGGCTGGAATGGGCTACAAGACCATTGCCAAGCAGCTTGGTGAGAAGGTGACAACAGTTGGTGCGATTATTCGCAAATGGAAGAAACACAAAAGAACTGTCAATCTCCCTCGGCCTGGGGCTCCATGCAAGATCTCACCTCGTGGAGTTGCAATGATCATGAGAACGGTGAGGAATCAGCCCAGAACTACACGGGAGGATCTTGTCAATGATATCAAGGCAGCTGGGACCATAGTCACCAAGAAAACAATTGGTAACACACTACGCCGTGAAGGACTGAAATCCTGCAGCGCCCGCAAGATCCCCCTGCTCAAGAAAGCACATTTACATGCCCGTCTGAAGTTTGCCAATGAACATCTGAATGATTTAGAGGACAACTGGGTGAAAGTGTTGTGGTCAGATGAGACCAAAATGGAGCTCTTTGGCATCAACTCAACTCGCCGTGTTTGGAGGAGGAGGAATGCTGCCTATGACGCCAAGAACACCATCCCCACCGTCAAACATGGAGGTGGAAACATTATGCTTTGGGGGTGTTTTTCTGCTAAGGGGACAGGTCAACTTCACCGCATCAAAGGGACGATGGACGGGGCCATGTACCGTCAAATCTTGGGTGAGAACCTCCTTCCCTCAGCCAGGGCATTGAAAATGGGACGTGGATGGGTATTCCAGCATGACAATGACCCAAAACACACGGCCAAGGCAACAAAGGAGTGACTCAAGAAGAAGCACATTAAGGTCCTGGAGTGGCCTAGCCAGTCTCCAGACCTTAATCCCATAGAAAATCTGTGGAGGGAGCTGAAGGTTCGAGTTGCCAAACGTCAGCCTTGAAACCTTAATGACTTGGAGAAGATCTGCAAAGAGGAGTGGGATAAAATCCCTCCTGAGATGTGTGCAAACCTGGTGGCCAACTACAAGAAACGTCTGACCTCTGTGATTGCCAACAAGGGTTTTGCCACCAAGTACTAAGTCATGTTTTGCAGAGGGCTCAAATACTTATTTCGCTCATTAAAATGCAAATGAATTTATAACATTTTTGACATGCATTTTTCCGGATTTTGTTGTTGTTATTCTGTCTCTCACTGTTCAAATAAACCTACCATTACAATTATAGACTGATCATTTCTTTGTCAGTGGGCCAACGTACAAAATCAGCAGGGGATCAAATACTTGTTTCCCTCACTGTACATGATGTGCGTGGCGTGTGCGTGTGCGTGGCGTGTGCGTGGCGTGTGCGTGGCGTACGCAGTTCGCTCCACCGCCGTCGCTGTCGGAGCCCCTCAAGGAGCTCTTCCGCATGCAGGAGGCAGCGCGCAGAGCCCTGCGCCTGCAGCAGCTCGTCGAGAGGGTGGGGGCACCACCAGCGACACAAACACCACCAGCAACACCGACAACAACAACAGCCGCCATTCGCCACAACCGGTGACGTCACCACGACGCTTGTGCCAGGCCATGTGCACCTTGAGGCCACGTGAAGTGTCGAACGCCCGCCGGCAGGAGGTCACGGGGCAGACCCAGGTGCCACGGGTGGACTGACTGAGATGACTGGCCGATGCACCACCTGTGCCCCCTACTGTGCCAACCTGCTGTGATTTAGCCACCCGGCGCTCCGCTCGTTTTTGTGAGCGTCGCTCCTCCGCCCTCCGTTGTTGTTGGAGGGCGACTACCTCCAACTGCCCAGTAGCGTCCTTCATGAGCCTCCTCCACAGAGGCCGATCTTGACACCGCTGGTACCAGTCATCGGCAAGTCCACTCAGCTCCACGTCCTCCTGTACCACGTCACTCCATCTCTTCTATAGCCCGTGCCGCGCCCGTTTAGCCCCCTCGATCCGGCCGAACAAAAGCTGTTTCGGCATGCGGTGGCTGGGCATGCGGGCTACATGACCCAGCCAACGTAGCCTTGCCTGCTCGAGGAGCTCACCGATGGGACTTCATCCGCATCTTTCAAGGATTTGTGAGCTCACACAATCCTGCCTGGTTAAGCCCAGGATGGATCGTAGGCAGGCCAGCCTGAATGTTTCTAACCGGCGAAGATGTTCCATTAGGGGGTCCACATTTCGCAAGCGTAGAGAAAGGAGGGAATGACCGTGGCCGAGAAGACCCGAAGCTTAGTGCGGAGCGACAGACCGGGTAGCTTCCACACAGCGTTACGCAACCAATGAAAAGATATTGCCGCTCGACTGATTCGGAGTGAGACCTCTGCTGTTAAACCGGAGCCGGTCATAAGCACACTGCCCAGGTATGGGAAACTCTCAACTCTCTCCACAACTGCCCTATCACCAATTGGGAGTTGTGGGGGTGGAGTGTCCGATGGTACAAAATACCCAGACAGGTGCTTAGTTTTGGTGGGGCTGATGGTAAGGCCCCATTTCTTAGTGGCACGCTCCAGTCTCAGCAGCAGCGTCTCCAACTCCTCCTCTGAATGAGCAGCTATTACCAAATCATCTGCATCCATAACGTGGTTGAGCAATAGGGAGCCATCCCTTGACCACACCCGGGCATCGATCAGCCTCCCACTGTATCTGTACCAAATGGAAATTCCTCCGGTACAGCTATTGAAGGCTTCACGAACTACGTGGTCAAAATAGATGTTAAATAACTTGGGGGCCAGAGGACATCTGTGTCGCACCCCAAGGTGTACAGGGAATGGCTCTGACTCCCGGCCACGTAGTTTTACCCGGGCCCGCTCACCATCATGAAGGTCCTTAATGATCGTGAATAGAGGGGCAGGGGACTCCGAAAGCAGAGATGTAGGTCTTGTTGGAATTCCCTACACCTCTACTGTAGCAGATGGACAGAAACTATGGCATCTGTGCAGGACCGCTCTTTCCTGAAACCGCATTGGGGCTCCGCAAGCCTCTCCTCAGCGTGGCTAGCAAGGCGATGTTGAATAATCCTTGCCAGGATCTTTCCCGGCACACTGAGGAGTGAGATGCCCCTGTAGTTGTTACAGTCTATGCGGTCCCCCTTCTTAAAGAGGGGGACCACCAGGGCATCCTTCCAATCCTGCCGAACCCGTCCAGTGGTCCAGACTGTTGTTATGATGTCTCATAGGGCAGTCTGTGCACAAACGCCACCCTCCCTCAACATTTCGCTTGGGAGATCATCTCTGCCCGGTGTCTTTCCTGGTCTCAGACTCTGGATCGCCTTCAGTACTTCCTCAACAGATGGCACCTCAGCCAGACACTAACAGGGGGTGACTTCCTCCACCAATATTTGAGGCACCGCAGCCTCAGCAGGGTCATCCCCGTTCTTTCCCCTAATGATGATTATAGGTGTGGCACTGAAAGTTACTTTTTTGATGGAGTTAAGGAGCGATTTGTGATTGCGGGCCACTGAGGGAGACTCCATCTCCTCAGCAACCCGCGACCACCACCCATCCTTGCAGCGCCTCACGGCTCTCCATTCTCCGACGGATTCTGTAGCTGATGAGAGTGGGCCTGTTGCTTTTTCTCAGCCAGCTTGAACACCTCCTCTGTCAGCCAGGGTCTCTGTGGAGGTCTGGACCGCGTACCCAAAGCAGCCATTGCAGCTGCATGAGCCACAATCCTAAACCTTGCCCATTTCCCTTCGACATCAGGAAGAGTGGGGGACGATTCCAATCCCAGCTGCAAGTGATGATGAAATTCTCGCTTGCAACTTTCATCAGATAACTGAGACCAGGCCACTTTATGTTGGAATGGGGTCCTGGGTGTACACCCACCACCGGAGTGGAAGAATGGCAGGCGCATCTTACAGATGACAAGTCAATGGTCAGTGGGCAGATCGGCTCCACGGTAGGTCCGGGTGTCAAGGACATGGGCCCGCATCCGCTGTTCCGTCACTATGTAGTCCAGCAGATGTTCTTGCTTGGACCCGACATGCATCCATGATGTGGTGTGGATGCGCCGATGCCGGAACAGCGTGTTGGTAATTACAAGCCCATGGGCTGCACAAAAATCGAGCAGCCTCCTACCGTTGTTCTTGAGCTGATCTGGCCCATGCTTTCCAATCACTCCAGACCAGGTGCTAGCATCATGACCAACTCGGGCATTGAAGTCACCCAACAAGATGACTCTATCCCGAGGGGCCACTTTAGCTAGCACCTGTGACAGGAGGTCATAGAAGGCATCTGACTCATCGGTCTTGCCTGCATCCCTCCACGGATGTTCGTCTTCAGTGGGGCATAAGTAACCACGACTACCACTCCAAGGCGAGCCCAAAGTAGCCTGGGGCTTACTGCTTCCCACACCTCACCGCCACACTCCCACGCCCCCTTCATTCTTTTGTTCAGAAGAAGAGCCACTCCCTGTTGTTTGGCAGACTGCTGCCCCGAGTAGATGACTGTCCACCCCTCATGATGGCAGGAGCCAGAGCCGGTCCACCGGACCTCCTGTATACCACAGAGATCCAGGCGGTACCGGTCCAGCTCCCGACAGAGAAGTGGCAGCCTCTCCTCCGCAGTGAGCGTTCGAACATTCCACGTGGCCACACGAAGTGGCTTTTTGTTGTTTCTGGAGGAGCCCCGAGGGTAGAGATTCAATCTCCTGGCTCCGCCAATTGGGGTTTGGCCTGGAGACGTCATAGACGCCTGTCCCCCCGGGGCCTCCGTCACAAGCTTATTTATTAAATTTTGTGGTCGTGGTTTAGTGGTAATTAATTGAAGGTGGAAGGGTTACCAGCCCCTCGCACCTGTCCAGAGCCCCCATTTAGCCAATCGGAATTGGCCCTCCCCCCACGGCACTGCCCACCACAGCGTTGCCCGTCCGGCACCACTGGGAGGTAGGGGGTTGTTTTGCCGGACACCAGCTACAGCAGCACCACCCACTCTCCCACTCACGCACCCACCCACTCTCCCACCCACTCTCCCACCCACCTACTCACCCACCCACTCACCCACTCACCCACCCACTTTCCCACCCACTCACCAACTCTCCCACCCACTCGCACACCCACCCACTCTCCCACCCACTCTCCCACCCACCTACTCACCCACCCACCCACTCACCCACTTTCCCACCCACTCACCAACTCTCCCACCCACTCACACACCCACTCACTCTCCCACCCACCCACTCTCCCACCCACCCACCCACTGTCCCACTCACCCACTGTCCCACCTACCCACCCCCGTGTGTGTGTGCGTGCAGGAGAAGCTGGTGCTGTCGTGTGAGCAGGAGGTGCTGCGTGTGCACTGCCAGGCAGCGCGCCGTCTGGCCAAGCAGGGGCTGCCCCTAGCAGCCTACGCAGTGCTGGTGCACAGAGACCTCGCCTCGGGGGAGCGCGTGGGTGCACGCTCGCTCGCTCGCCTAACCACTCACACACACACTCACTTGCTCACGCACACACCCACTCACACACACACCCACTCACACACACACTCACACACACCCACTCACACACACACTCATCCACTCACACACACTCACACACTCACTTGCTCACGCACACACCCACTCACACACACACACTCGCACACTCACCCACTCACACACACACACTCACCCACTCGCACACTCACCCACTCACACACACACACTCACCCACTCACACACCCACTCACACACTCACTCACCCACTCAATCGCACACTCACACACCCACTCACACACACACTCGCACACTCACTCACCCACTCACACACCCACTCACACACCCACTCACACACACACCCACTCACACACTCATTCACCCACTCACACACACACACTCACCCACTCACACACCCACTCACACACACACCCACTCACACACACACTCACCCACTCGCACACTCACCCACTCACACACACACACTCACCCACTCACACACCCACTCACACACTCACTCACCCACTCACTCGCACACTCACTCACCCACTCACACACCCACTCACACACCCACTCACACACACACCCACTCACACACACACTCATTCACCCACTCACACACACACACTCACCCACTCACACACCCACTCACTCACTCACACACACTCACACACTCACTCACCCACTCGCACAGTCACTCACACACACACACTCATTCACCCACTCACACACACACACTCACCCACTCACACACCCACTCACACACTCACTCACCCACTCACTCGCACACCCACTCACAACTCACTCACCCACTCGCACAGTCACCCACTCACACACTCACTCACCCACTCACTCGCTCACCCACTCACTCAATTACTTACCCACTCACTCACCCACTCACTTACCTGCTCACTCAGTCACCCACCCACCCACCCACTCACTCACCCACTCACTCACTCACACACTCACTCACACACTCACTCAGTCACCCACTCACTCACCCACTCACTCACCCGCTCACTCAGTCACCCACACACTCACACACTCACTCACCCCCCCACCTCGTCCCCCCACCTTGTCCCCTGCTCCACGTATCTTCCCCGTGTCCCCCCCCCCCAGCAGGAGGTGGAGGCGGATGAGGAGGAGGAGGCGGATTATGAGGAGGAGGAGGAGGAGGAGGAGGAGGTGGTGGACGAGGAAGTGGACGACGATGAGGACCTGGAGCGGAGTCGCCGGAGTCGCCGGCGCCGGCGACGGCGGCAGCAGCGGCAGCAGCAGCAGCGGATCCCTTGTGTGGAGGACGTGGAGAAGAGATATGAGAACGTGAAGGTAGTGTAGTGTGTAGTGTATAGTGTACAGTGTGTAGTGTTGTGTGTGTGTATAGTGTAGTGTGTGTGTATAGTGTAGTGTGTGTATAGTATAGTGTTTGTATAGTGTAGTGTGTGTATAGTGTAGTGTGTGTATAGTGTAGTGTGTGTATAGTGTAGTGTAGTGTGTAGTGGAGTTTATAGTGGAGTGTGTAGTGTAGTGTGTAGTGTACACCAGAAGGAGGTAAGGGGTTGTTTTGCCAGACATAAACCACGACCACAAAAATGTAATAAATAAAAGCTTGTGCCAGGGGCCCTGGGGGGACAGGCGTCTATGACGTCTCCTGGCCAAACCCCAATTGGCGGAGCCAGGAGATTGAATCTTTACCCTCGGGGCTCCTCCAGAAACAACAAAAAGCCACTACGGATGGCCACGTGGAATGTTCGAACGCTCACTGCGGAGGAGAGGCTGCCACTCCTCTGTCGGGAGCTGGACCGGTACCGCCTGGATCTCTGTGGCATTCAGGAGGTCTGGTGGACCGGCTCTGGCTCCTGCCTCCATGAGGGGTGGACAGTCCTCTACTCGGGGCAGCAGACTGCCAAACAACAGGGTGTGGCTCTTCTTCTGAATAAGATAATGAAGGGGGCATGGGAGCGTGGCGATGAGGTGTGGGAAGCTGTAAGCCCCAGGCTACTTTGGGCTCGCCTTCCCATCAACCAGAGGCGAGGAGTGGTGGTCATGGTTACTTATGCCCCCACTGAAAACGAACATCCATGGAGGGATGCAGGCAAGGCCGATGAGTCAGATGCCTTCTATAACCTGTCACAGGTGCTGGCTAAAGTGGCCCCTCGGGATAGAGTCATCTTGTTGGGTGACTTCAATGCCCGAGTTGGTCATGATGCTAACACCTGATCTGGAGTGATTGGAAGGCATGGGCCAGATCAGCTCAATAACAACGGGAGGAGGCTGCTCGATTTTTGTGCAGCCCATGGGCTTGTAATTACCAACACGCTGTGCCGGCACCGGCGCATCCACACCACATCATGGATGCATGCCGGGTCCAAGCAAGAACATCTGCTGGACTACATAGTGACGGACCAGCGAATGCGAGCCCATGTCGTTGACACCAGGACCTACCGTGGACCTGATCTGTCCATTGACCATCGACTTGTCATCTGTAAGATGCACCTTCCATTCTTCCACTCCGGTGGTGGGTGTACACCCAGGACCCCATTCAAACCCTTAGTGGCATGGTCTCAGCTAGCTGATGAAAGTTGCAAGTGAGAATTTCATCATCAAGTGAGAATTTCATCATCAAAGTAACCTGCAGCGCCACACCCATTACCATCATTAGGGAAAAGAACGGCGATCCAATCTCTGACCCCCAGGAACAGGTTTGCAGAATTGCTGAGCATTTCTGTGAGGTCCTGGGGGAGGGGAAATCCCACAGCCAGGAAAACATCGTGGCACAAAGTGAGGATGACCCTGCTGAGGCTGCGGTGCCTCTAATATTGGAGGAGGTCACCCCCTGTGAGTGGCTGGCTGAGGTGCCATCTGTTGAGGAAGTACTGAGGGCGATCCAGAGTTTGAGACCAGGAAAGACACCGGGCAGAGATGATCTCCCAAGTGAAATGCTGAAGGAGGGTGGCATTTGTGCACAGACTGCCCTACATGACATCATAACAGTCTGGACCACTGTACGGGTTCGGCAGGATTGGAAGGATGCCCTGGTGGTCCCCCTCTTTAAGAAGGGGGACCGCACAGACTGTAACAACTACAGGGGCCTCTCACTCCTCAGTGTGCCGGGAAAGGTCCTGGCAAGGATTATTCAACATCGCCTTGCTAGCCACGCTGAGGAGAGGCTTGCAGAGTCCCAGTGCGGTTTCAGGAAAGGGCGGTTCTGCACAGATGCCATATTTTCTGTCCGTCTGCTACAGCAAAGCTGTAGGCAATTTGAACAAGACCTACATCTCTGCTTTATTGACCTGGTCAATGGCTATGATACCATCAGTAGGCCTGGGCTCTGGGTTGTCCCTAACCCTCTGCTCACGATCATTAAGGAGCCGGGTAAAACTACGTGGCTGGGAGTTGGAGCCATTCCTTGTACACCTTGGGGTGCGACAGGGATGTCCTCTGGCTCCCACGTTATTTAACATCTATTTTGACCACGTAGTTCGTGAAGCCTTCAATAGCTGTACCGGGGGAATCTACATTTGGTACAGATATAATGGGAGGCTGATCGATGCCCGGGTGTGGTCAAGGGATGGCTCCCTATTGCTCAACCACGTTATGTATGCCGATGATTTGGTAATAGCTGCTCATTCAGAGGAGTAGTTGGAGACGCTGCTGCTGAGACTGGAGCGTGCCACTAAGAGATGGGGCCTTACCATCAGCCCCACCAAAACTAAGCACCTGCCTGGGTATTTTGTACCATCGGACACTCCACCCCCACAACTCCCAATCGGTGATGGGGCAGTTGTGGACAGTTTCCCATACCTGGGCAGTGTGCTTTTGACCGACTCCGGTTTAACAGCAGAGGTCTCCGAATCAGTCGAGCGGAAATATCTTTTCATCGGTTGTGGAACGCTGTGTGGAAGCTACCTGGTCTGCCGCTCCGCACTAAGCTTCGGGTCTTCTCGGCCACGGTCATTCCCTCCCTTCTCTACGCTTGCGAAACGTGGACCCCCCTAATGGAACATCTCCGCCGGTTAGAAACATTTAGGCTGGCCTGCCTACGATCCATCTTGGGTTTAACCAGGCTGGATTGTGTGAGGAGCTCACAAATCCTTGAAAGATCTGGGCAAGGTCCCATCGGTGAGCTCCTCCGACAGGCTGGGTCACGTAGCCCGCAAGCCCAGCCATCGCATGCCGAAACAGCTTTTGTTTGGGCGAATCGAGGGGGCTAAACGGGCGCGGCATGGGCTAGAGAAGAGATGGAGTGATGTGGTACAGGAGGACGTGCAGCTGAGTGGACTTGCCGATGACCGGTACCAGCGGTGTCAAGATCGGCCTCTGTGGAGGAGGCTCGTGAAGGACGCCGCTACTGGGCAGTTGGAGGTAGTCGCCCTCCAACAACAACGGAGGGCGGAGGAGCGACGCTCACAACAACGAGCGGAGCGCCGGGTGGCTAAAGCACAGCGGGTTGGCACAGTAGGGGGCACAGGTGGTGCATCAGCCAGTCATCTCAGTCTGTCGACCCGTGGCACCTGCTGGGTCTGCCCCGTGACCTCCTGGTGCACCTAGCCTGGCACAGTAGGGGGCACAGGTGGTGCACCAGCCAGTTCATCTCAGTCTGTCGACCCGTGGCACCTGCTGGGTCTGCCCCGTGACCTCCTGGTGCACCTAGCCTGGCACAGTAGGGGGCACAGGTGGTGCACCGGCCAGTTCATCTCAGTCAGTCGGCCCGTGGCACCTGCTGGGTCTGCCCCGTGACCTCCTGCCAGCGGGCGTTCGACACTTCACGTGGCCTCAGGGTGCACATGGCCTGGCACAAGCGTCGTGGTGACGTCACCGCCACTTAGTGGCGAATGGCGGTTGTTGTTGTTGTTGTTGTGTACGTGTGTGTGTGTGTGTGTAGCCTGGCACAAGCGTCGTGGTGACGTCACCGCCACTTAGTGGCGAATGGCGGTTGTAGTTGTAGTAGTTGTAGTGTACCCCCCTAGATGAATTGTGCGTCTCTCCCCCGCGCCCCGCCCCCCCAGACAGCGGTGTTGATGCGCCAGCAACAGGAGGCGGCGGCGCTGAGTGCGGTGCAGCGGCTCGAGTGGCTGGTGAGGGCCGACGAGGCGGACGGCGCCGCCCCCCGGCGCCACGCCGAGGACGTCTCGGACTTTTACGTCCCCACGGTGGACGTCAGCGACGACTTCGACCTGCTGCCCTGCTGAGTCGGCCAGCCAGTCAGTCGCCCAGCCAGTCAGTCGCTCAGTCACCCAGTCAGTCACCCAGCCAGTCAGTCGCTCAGTCAGTCACTCAGCCAGTCAGTCGCCCAGCCAGTCAGTCGCCCAGCCAGTCAGTCACCCAGTCAGTCACTCAGCCAGTCAGTCAGTCACCCAGTCAGTCACTCAGCCAGTCAGTCACCCAGCCAGTCAGTCGCCCAGTCAGTCACTCAGCCAGTCAGTCACTCAGTCACCCAGCCAGTCAGTCACTCAGTCAGTCACCCAGCCAGTCAGTCACCCAGTCAGTCGCCCAGCCACCCAGTCACCCAGCCAGTCACCCAGCCAGTCAGTCACCCAGCCAGTCAGTCACTCAGTCAGTCACCCAGCCAGTCAGTCACTCAGTCAGTCACCCAGCCAGTCAGTCACCCAGTCAGTCGCCCAGCCACCCAGTCACCCAGTCAGTCACCCAGCCAGTCAGTCACTCAGTCACCCAGCCAGTCAGTCACTCAGTCAGTCACCCAGCCAGTCAGTCACCTAGTCAGTCGCCCAGCCACCCAGTCACCCAGCCAGTCACCCAGTCAGTCACCCAGCCAGTCAGTCACCCAGCCAGTCAGTCACTCAGTCAGTCACCCAGCCAGTCACCCAGCCAGTCAGTCACCCAGCCAGTCACTGAGCCAGCCAGTCACCCAGTCAGTCACCCAGCCAGTCTGTCAACCAGCCAGTCACCCAGCCAGTCAGTCACCCAGCCAGTCACCCAGCCAGTCACCCAGCCAGTCACCCAGTCAGTCACCCAGCCAGTCTGTCACCCAGTCAGTCACCCAGCCAGTCAGTCACCCAGCCAGTCAGTAACCCAGCCAGTCAGTCAGTCAGCCACCCATCAAGTCAACCAGCCAGTCACCCATCAAGTCACCCAGCCAGTCACCCACCCAGCCAC